GATTACCACATCACTCATTAGAAGAACCACATCATTCAACCACGAGTTCCTCACACGAATTACCACATCACTCATCAGGAAGACCACATAAATCACACGAGCATATACCACATACATCATCACATACCGTACATCACATCCCATCACATACCGTACATCACATCCCATCACCCCACCGACATGGATGAATCGATAAAATAAATAAAAAATACCAATATAGCCGGTACCATATTTAATTTCACGAATCGTCCCAACTACTATTAACATTTACCCTTTCAACTGGCTAATAATTATTTTTGAGCCATCGCCTTTGCCACCCACAATCAAAACTGAAAACTATCTTAAATCGAAAATTTCAAAGTTATTGACAAATCTGTGCATCAAAATATAAATAATCCATAACAGTAAACGGTCTGAGGTAAAGTTCCACGAGAAAATAGCGACATGTTAGAATTCTCGAATGGATCTCAAGGTATCGGACATCTTGATATTCAAAGATCTTGAGCCATTACGATTGAAAATATGGGAAATAGTGCGTTGTTACAATCCCATGTACATGGCAGCATTCCTCTACCTTCTCGACAACATCTCGTTGAACAGCAAGAAAATACCAATAGGTAAATAAAATACCAATGACGTGCGAAAACCACGTGGTGTACTCTATCTGCGTATTTTAAACGATAAATTAAAAAATGTCATTGGGTATGAAAATAAAAAAACTTTAGGTCGTATGATGTGCCATTAGATTGTCATTTACTTCATAGTTTGTCATTTTCTTAAATTACTATGAAAATTTTTATTAAATACAGAACTATTATTATTATTATTATTATTATTATTATTATTATTATTGTTATTATTTTGTAGATGAGTGTACCATATCCATTTAGACGGAAAAATTCAATAAAAATTTGAATCACCGCAATGTTAATGCAATTTTATATTAAATATACAAAAAAATGTTAAAAAATTAATGAATGTCAAGGAAAAAAATGATTTAATGAATGGATTGTTTATTAGTAAGCAATGAACAAATACATTTAATGGAATAACACGTTGGACAGAGTTTTGGGATATCTCGAATGCAGATGGCTAGACGTTCGTAGGGCCGTGGTGTTGGCGTTGGAATCATCTGATTGCTCATATTCTTGTCCAAAGTCGATACAGACTGTTGGTGTGATTGATTATATAACTGAACAACAGCTTCTTCAAATTTCGGCTGTTCAAGACGAATATTTTTTGCCTGTGGTGGAGCGACAAGCGGCTCCGCGATTTGATACTCATCCCCGTAGAGACGTTTACGACTTCCTGGATGATCTTTTGCTTTAACTGGAGATTTCATCGCTTCTGGATAACAATCCCCTGACATTTTACCTTCGTATTGCATTTCCATTTTAATTTCACTTGGAAGATTGAAGAATGAAGAGACACCTGTCAAGTTCAGCAGCTGACGCACGACTGATTTCTTATAACGATTGGCCGAAGGAAAAGATCTGCTCTCAAGCTATCGCTGACGAACAAATGGATAATTGTATTCAGTTGGTGAATTAATTGAAAGGACTTGTCGTTTTCATTGTTCGCTGCTAAAGTTGAAGAATTGAAACGTGAGTTCAATCATGAGTAAAAATTTAAGAACGAATATCGTGGGACAACGTGACATCCAAATGCTGTCATGCATGAGTTTCATGACTTAGGTTTAAAGGTGATTCTGTTTTCTTACGTGTTGATGAAAAAATTCTGCTCAATAGCGACAGAGACGTGTCGTCCAAAGAAATTCAAACTCAAACGGATTCGTTTACTGTGAATTCGTTTAATTGTAAGCAGTACATTAAGTGCAATTTATATGAATTAAAATAGCGATCTAAAATATCGGATATATTCTGTGATCCACAATTATCGAAGCCAGTGCGATTAAATATCGCGCAATAAATCGTTGGGATATTTGATTTATTCTCTGGAGATCTCGCGCAATTGGAAAAAGCACATTGCTTCTATTTTTTTGTTCCTTTTCACGCGTATATAAACAAAAGCTCGAGCAAGCAACGATAGCTAGTCCTCAGCGAGTCATTAAGTTGTAAAGGTCTAACCTTATTATAGTCGATTAAAATCATGTCTGATGAATCGAGTATTGAATCAAAAAGCGGTATCGATGCGAATATCGAATCGAGTGCTGATGGAAGTGATGTAAGCGTTGACGAGAGCAATCAGATCATTGAATCCGATGATAAATCGAATGGAGAGGAAACGAGCGTTGAAACTGGAGAACTCAAGGAGCTGGATGACCAGATATTGAAGAATGTTAATGAATCGTCAGACAATCTCGCCACTAGTCATCCCTCGCGAAATTTAAAAAAACGTAAATCTGCGCCATTCACCGTTAATTTATTGCAGTACGTGAATTTTATTCACATTGCCTACAAAAATTCCATAGTAGATGTCACCCAAAATCCCCCGCTGATTGCCATACCTAAGAGAATAATCACCAGTATTGAGGATCCAGCGAAACGTGTTAAAAGTTCAGATGAAAAAACAGCAACAGCACTGGACGAAAAGATACGTTTCATCCATCGTCATTCTGTTTACAAGAAACTCGTTGTACGATCGATTGTGGAATTGGAAGAGGCTAATGCCACTTTTCAATTCAGCAAGGAAACCCTCAAGTACTTTCTCGCAACACACGCTAAATTTCTGTGGCCAACTGATTTCAGCGATACAAATTTCATAAGCAATGAGCGTCGCACCAAGAACAATGCACCATTACCACCTGGTGGATCACTCCAGGAATATTGCAAGGGTCTCGATGCATTTACCAGCAGCATCAATCGAGCGGACAAGGACGACATCCAAGCGCTGCGATTTATCCTCGAGAATAAAATTGAATTGTCACCAGAAATTTATTCCAGTCAAACGATCACATTCGCTGATCCCAAATACGAGACTGATAGTGTGTACACTCCACGCGATGGTTATTCACTAATTGCCAATTCGAGTTTAAAACGAGCTGTCGTTCTGGTGACAAATACGATTATCATGATTTACGATGGACACCAGTTTGTTGTGCCGCCGATAAGTTTGGAGCGTGATATCACAACGAAATCACTGCAAGAGGCGAATTTGGGTAACGATGAGTATGTTCTGTTCGATATGCTTCTCATGACCAGGAACAAAGTACTTGATGTAATTGATGCCAATATCGGTGAGCCCCTCTCTCCGAATTATGACGAGCGTATGGAATATATTCGTAATCGATTCCCCGATTTGAAACAGGTCGCAGTGATGGGAGCTGTACACAAACAGAATGACACGAGTTACATTCAGAAGCCAATGCGTGGTCGCGGAATTTCATATGTCTACACAAAACCAAATCCAACGGGAGCTGTTATCGGTACATTTGAGAAGCATGCCTGCATTGCCTTCAAACTCAACCCCAAGATACTCATTGTCAAGACTAAATGCAGCATAAGTGGTCCAACACTCTTCAGCATCATGGCGTCGAGTTATCAGACATTGCCTGATAATTTTGATTTATCACGAGCAGCAATTCGATACAAGGGTCAGGTCTTCGCTTTGACTGGGGATTTGAATGAAGTTCATCTTCTACAGGAGGCTATTCCTGTTGAGCTACGTGATGGTAATAAACTTGGTAATATCAGCACTCATGAAATATCTGGTATTCATGATTATAAACCAACTACATCGATCAAGGATTCGTCTATTGACAATACAGTTAATCTTGTTCTATCCAATCCGACTAAGTACTGCGCTCGCTTTTTCCGTCATCCGGACTTTGAACGTCTTCGTCAATTGTTCCTGACAGCACCCGAATCCTCCATCAACGTTGACTTCGGATCGTATAATTGAATGGATTGTTTTTTATTTTTTAAAATATGAACCTTAAGAGAGTTTCATGATTGTTAATTTATATTAGTTTCAAGAGAGATAGTGATATATTTCTTCAGTGATCGACGGAGAAATTGCGGCCAATAAAATTGTACGGTAACTGTAGTAATTTAGTTTAGGAATAAATAAGTAATAAGAGGTGCGAGGTAATTATTATTCTCATTGCTCATTTGTATTTCCTGGAAATAGTAATAATATCGTTTATTACCATTTCGTTTGTGGTTACTGATGAGAGAGAGAAGAGAAAACGCTCGCGAAATGGTGGATTTGTGTTTATCGGTAATTCTTCAGCAATTGAATATGATCGAGGGTCGAACGATTGCGGACTTGCGGGATACATTACCCTCCCCCTTGTATCGGAAATTGTATCTAAAAGCAATTGCTCCGTTCTACGGTATTGAGACTATTAATTTGGAATTTCTCTACAATACTCTGCCATCTCGAATCTTCAATCGCGAGATGAAAAAGTGGCTCGACGAAATTCTCAATACTAACGAGATGGACTTTGATTTACCGGGTGTTCGTAAATTCACCGTTCGACAGACATTCATCCGGTTTTTGCAGGATTTTCTGAAAACTCAACATGGCTGGGACAAGTACATGAACGAGTGCACTGACATTTTGGAAGAACATTTAATGACAGCAATTACACTGGATTCGGAATTACTCAGTGAGGAGCATTACCTGTTGTTGATGAATTTACCTGCAAGATTACCAAAATTTGCTGACGAAACGTACAACTGTATTGCTATTGAACAATGGCGAATTGTTGGTGACTCGACGAATTATTGTCGTTTTTGCGCCGAAGAGTTCAGTAATAATTCCGATAAACGACGAGGTAAGTACATACACATTGAAATTGTTTCTGGGGAAGATCTCGTCAAGAACATCATTTGGAATGAAAAATATTGGTGTTCCATTTGTATTCGTCGACCATTATTCTATCTGATCGATAAATTCGCTGGTTATTACGACCAACATTTGCTTTAAAGTAAAAAAAATTCCACAGCGATTGATGAATAATATTTTTATAATTTATATTTCCCATACCTCGACTTGACATTGTATTTTCACAATAAATAAAAAAAAAATGTTTATCGAAAGAACAAAATAAAATATGAAGAACAATTTATAAAATGTAAAAAACATATAAACTTGCATGACTCCACAGCATCAAGATAAGTTGAAAATATTTTGTCTTCTCCCATTTTGTAGTTAAATAAATAATATCGATGATTCGAATAGCTAGTCTTCACTAATCCAGGTCATGTCTGTAATTATCATCCGGTCATCTGATGTGGTGTAGTGAGGTGTTCCAGTTTGAGTTGTAACGTATCCAACAGATGCAAGCATCACAATAATTAATGAAAAGATCAAGAGGAATGAATTAGCAACAAGCACATTTATCCCATTTGTGCCTAGTTGAGCCTCAATGAGATGCTTGAAGCGATCATCTCGCGTGTCCGATTTGAACACTGTATCCATTGCCACACCTTAATACTCGAATATTTTCCAATAAACCACAAATCTAGAGTTTAACTAACTATATTTCGAGTGTCGTTACCTCCCTTCAATCATGGAAGGTAAATTACCAGAGAAAATGACTGCTTCGAATCGGGGCATTGCTGAATGTAATGATCTCTGTGATGAAATCTCAGAAACTTGGCCGCATACCTTTCCCCCAGTTTTGCGAAAGGTTGTCAAGTTAGAAAATCCTTCGCCTTCCATTTATTCTTTAGAAATTTAATCACTGGTACGTCGTAATCGTTTCGAACTGCTCTCCCCTTCGTCGCCATTTACCTCAATTCTCCGTTTTATTCCAGCAGAGAGATTATGCTCCTCGATATCATTAAGAAAAGTCAATCGAAACCCATGCAGACCCAACACCTGGAGCACCTTCTCGCATACGGTGTCGGACCGTAGGACTCGGCTGGCATTGCAAAGATTTTGTGAATCAAAGCCATTCATATTGGTAAGCGTATCGATTTTTACATCAAATACTTTATTATTGGTGTAAGGATGGAGTGTATGAATGACCAAATCGACTGGAGCTATGAGCTCGCCATTCGGACCAATGGCCAACTCATCTGATTTAAGCATGTCATAAATTTGTCCAGACGGCGTACGTCCGAGGAGTGATGCTTCACTGTACACTATTTGCGCATGTACTTTACGTCCATCACGCGTAATACCCCAGCAATTGGACAAGTCCGTGGTAATAGAGCATACATTTTTTTGTCCATAGCTATTAGCGACTTTGGAACCGTCAACAACTGATACCTCAGTCCGTCCTTTAATGACAATTATTATCGAACTGCCAGTTCGAACGTGATGAATCTTCAGGTGCTGATACATCTGTGTTTTCTTCGGCAAAAAATGAATGAGATAGTAATAATGACTTCCGATACGTGACATCTTGATCAGACTGTGCTTGCTATTTTTTATGTAGGCCTCATACGGTGATATTATGCAGCCAATGAGCGTTTCATCATCAATTCGTCGAGCATTCGAATCATCTACACTAATGAAGTGGGCGGATTTCGGTTGTTTGATGGTCTTGAAGGTGAACTCGATGGTGATGCAGGCATTGTAACATATTTTTGGAATGTACTTGAGTGTTGATGTATCCATGACAACACCATCCTCAATGCAAGCACCAAATGGATTACCAAAAACAGCACGAAGACGTAAATTCCATATCTCCTGAGGATTGAAATACTTGCTGTTGAAGATGGTCGATAAATAATCGCTGACATCTCTGGCTCGTGACACATTTCGCTCAAGAACGAATGGAGTATTGACAGCACGTCTGCATTCGGTGAGTAACAGTTCCGGTGGATAAAGCCGGTGTAATGCCTGCATGGCATTTTTTTTGTCGGTTCTTTTGATTGGTGCTATTGGTTCCTCGAGGTTGAAGTGCTGGACTAACCCAGTGTAGACTCGTTCGAAGTTGGATGTATCATTTCCATGAGATATCACAGCATAATCGATTAATTTTTGACGCAACTCCTCTGTCATGTTGAGGTAACAAGTGATACCAAGGGAATTCTCCATGAGCAGGCAGTGCATCGAGTTCGTTACATTGGCAACACTTCCTTTGATATTGTTGATACTTACTGTTGCCTTGGATGGAGCTGTTTTTCTCAGATTCACTATTCCCAGTTGTTTAGCCGCTGTTGACAGCAGTTCTGCCTCGGGATATTTAATATTATAATGAATGGTCTCCGCTGGGGAGAAGAATACGTCGTATTCGTCTGAATATTTCATAGGTATCGATGATCGTGTACTGAACATTATGTACGGTAAATAATATTTTGTTGTAACGTGACCAAATTTCACCTTCAAGTTGATCAAATCCTGGAGATTCCACTCGCGTTTACAATTAGTTATGTAACCATCGATTATCAAATTATTTCCACGTCCAGTTGATAAACTGCATAAATACTGATAGAGGATTTTTGGATCCGTTGACTCACTCATTATCACATAATCGGCAAGTACATTCTGTTCACCCGCACTTTTCAAGTCCTTAGTGTTGAGCATGCAGAAGTAATTGACAGCATCGGATGGAAAAGCTAGGGCACTTGAATTTCTCACTGCATCATTAGAGGCGCGTGTTACATTTGGCAGGAGAAGTGCTGTCTTATTGCTTCGCCCTTCGTGCAATGTATTGTCGTAATTCTGGGGATAATTTCTACACCAAGCCTCGGTTTCGTTGAAATTTTTCTTACCGAGCGCCTGAAAGAGCGTTCCATTCTCGAATGCAGCACTCATTTTCAAACAGCCAGCTCCTTTTTTCTTGCGTCGTTTATTCAAGTCGTATTGTATATACCGGGTTATGACACTTGCGCCATTTAAAAACTGACGATTCTTCAAATCATTCATTTGATAGACATACGACAGTACAGTGTCCCACATTTTCATGTACTCAGATGCGAGAACGTTTGTCACACCAAAGGGATTTGATTTGCCAATGAGATTTATCCATTCACTCGATTTCGAGCTCTCGTAAGTTTTGTATTGGTAAGTCCAGAGTACTCGTTTGTTCTGATAATTTATTGCCAAACCGTTTGGCACTTCCGCTTGTTCGTTATCGTTGACGTAGGTGAACCAGTCGATTGATTTACCCTCTTTCGTTTGTCGCACGTGCATGGAAAGTGAATCGAATGTACTAAAACTCGCGTAAATTTTCAATACACCACGCAGAATAACTGAACCCCACAATTGTCGGCACTCCACTACTGCCTTATGTCCCCGTATTCGGTAATCCAAGTAACTCCCAAGGACTATTGGAATTGACGAATGATTTATGCGTTTGCGGCTTTTGCTGTTGTAGCACAAACATGCCATGTACGATTTTCGTCCGATAATCACGTTTTCGATGAATGTATCGGGTATCTTAAATGTCTCGTAGCAAGGACAATCTATCAGTACAAATCTATGCAATTGGTAATTGTACGAGCACAGAAAGTACGTGTCGAAAAACATGATCCTTCCAACGCTCAATCACAATTAACTCATTTATCGAAAATCCATCAAACTTTATAGCCCCTCGAGGTGGTACCACATTTACTCGTACATTTATCTGAAAAGTTGGACTATTGTAATTTATAATTGCCCGTTGCTAATGACTTATGGATAATGGATGTAATGAATTTTAATGTAGGAAATTTGTTATTTTTGAAATTCATTTCTTTCGACTAGTTACTCTTCCAGTATTTTAGAACAAATCGGAATTCAGTCGAATACTGGCCCAAACCTGAACCAACAATTTTTTTTTATTTTAATTGCATGAGTGTAAATTGATTTTCAATGAATTTAACAAATTTTTTTATCGTTGAAGACGATTGCTTGTCGGCAAAAAATATATTATCGAATTATATTACATCTTCGATAATATACATATATATTTTAATTAAACTTGTTCGAAAAATAAAAAAAAAACATATTGCCCTCAATTAAAGGAATTCTCGGCAAAGATTTATCCTTTCCTGAGGGTCAAGATGAGATCCGTCTTCCATAATTTCAACGCTGAAAGCCATGACAATTCCATTCGGTAATAACGAGATTCGAAATTTTGAACGTTTATGATTCATCCGCAGGATTTTCTGGATCTCCTGAAGAGAATGTCTCCAAGGACTCATTGGCGGCCTCTTGAACCCTTCTTTTTTCGGCAAAAGTCTTTCGCATTTTCATTAATTTTTCGGAATTGATGCACTGATTGTTGAGGCTAACATGGTTGACAAGTACATAAACAACGGTCACGAGTATAATCAGAATTAGTAGAAACAGAATAACGAAGCTTTCAGGGAAAATGTACAGAAATATAACAGCAAATATCAATCCACTCAAAGTTCTCCGTAGAAATAGCTCGCCATTCATCGGGATTTTAATGTATTCCAATGATCGAAGAATTGCCGGAAAAGAAATTGATGTTGTTCGAGTGACAGACGGGTCGACCTCACTCGTTTTTTCATTCATATTATTTTGCTGTTTTTCCATTATATAGACTATATTATACTGGGAAATAATCAATGGAAGCTATTTCACGATGAGATCACCTCCCGGTTTCCACGAGCTGACGCATCTGCATTCATAACTTTTATAAATTTTCACTTACAACTCGATTACAAGACATTTGTCCTGGTAAAATTATCAAATTATCGGTAGTATGACACATTGAATAATTCTACTCCGTCTATCACGTACTGATAAGACTGCCATTCTGAGTTTTAGTTATTGTTCTGTTAGTCACGCCAAATCTGAAGCGAAAAGTGAGGTAATTCCAGTGTTATTTTGTGGTATCGAACGAAAGTCAGGTCTGACTTCATTCGTCCAGTGGATTAAACAATAATTTGTTTCTCCACGGGTCTCCTCAAAATCGCCTATATAATGCCCATCATCGAAATTTTTCCGTTAGTGGGAATGAGAGAAGGTAGACGATTGAACGGAATCCCCAGACACGATGTCTAGCAGCTCTTTGAAGCCAACGGAATGGGAGAGTACAATTTCAATTCCAACAACACGTGAAGAATTCAACCGAATGCTTGATGCAGTAAAGTGTGAAGTTCCAGTGAGATGCCCGTCAGAAGGAGTTCTCAATGATATTATAATCTTGTTTAAAAATGGTGTACGCTTGAGCAGACGTCGGTTGGAGCACAAGATAACATTGACAACGCGAAATATTCTTGGATTTCATCGTGGAGTTAGTTATCCGATAGTGAGAACAACAGCTCACGAGCAATTAGCTTCACATCCACCGCTGCAGGATATTGAACGTATGACCCATCGACTTGTTAAATTTGTGGGTCAAGTACGCCAAACATACAACAAAGAAGAGTGCGAAAAGGGTGAACGATACACTCTCGAGTATGAGATTGAGTATCCAGGTGACACATCATACACCGAAATTTTACGTCTTGAATCCGAAATGATGGATTGCGCTGTCCAGCACAAACACTTTGCCGCAGCTCAAGCAATGTCACTTGAGAATATATTCGCATGTGTCATGTCAAAAGTGCAAATGTGGCATTGCTTCGATGACAAACAGCTGTACCATTGGGCCTACAAGTGGAACGGTGTAAAAGCCAAAATGATGGTACAACGGGACGAAGATATAGCCTACCTGTGGCCTGATGCTGGTGTTATCAAGACACAGCGATTCGAGGGTGATGTCGAGGTATTCGCCAATTTGTGTCTTCTTGTGGAGATCATGGAGGACAGAGTTGTCATCATCGAAGTGATTGGATCCTCATTTGATGGACGCATTCATACCACTGAACCGCGTACGAATATCGAGTTTTTGGATCATTTGAATGACTCCGTCAGCAGATGTGATGGTACCCGAATTGGTGGTAAATCTATTGTTGTTCAGGCGTTTTATCCACCACCGAAACCCGACAGATACGATGAACAACTTCACGATGGCTTCATAATTGTTCAGAATGATATTATAATCAAATGGAAAATTCCAACTCTCGATGTGAAGTGTATTGCTCCATTCACGTACTCCGCTGCGAATAGGAATTTTTATCTGGATTTGGAGGGTGAAGTTGATGCCATTTATGAGATTTCATCGAGTCACAAAATTTTACGACGTCGGATTGATCGAATTGCTCCGAGCAGCGCTGAAGAGTTGGAGACATTTCTAACATCCACTGAGCTGCTCAATGCTTGTCAATCCACATTTTCATAACGAGGTTCGTCTAATTATTCAAATTATAACAACAATTTAAAATCAGTTTGAATTTTCAAAAAAATGATTTTTTTTACACTTTTATCATTTGATTTTTAAATAATGAGTCATTATGTTTCTAATTGCTCAACGGAAAAACCAGAAGCACGTTCGGGCATCCGCCATTTTGCTCCAGGCAAATAGTATTGTTTAAAAGATTTATTTTACGGTTGATGAGTCTTCCAGAATTTTTGTGCAATTCTTGAATTTATTGGACACTTGCCTGCACGCAAGTGGAATTAAATCGTGGGAGTGAAAAATTTGATTTTTAAATTATTGGGAAAGGAAGAAAAATTTATTATCGACTCAACACGCGTTTTGATTGATATGATTTACCGACAGAGGTTTTTTCTCGGTGAGGGTACCCTGTTTTTCCGCCTTCGGCAGCTCTCCCCTCGAGCTATTTGCAAAATAATAATTAATCATTTTACCGACAAAAACTTCTCGTCCTGCGGGAAAGTTCATCTTAACACCGAGACCTCAACACTGTGGACTGAACAAGTTACATTATTTGCACTCTATAACTACTATTATTTAATACTCAATTATTCCATATCAAAACTTACCCTTAATTATATATTAAAGAGTAATTACCCTTTAAACACTAATTCACGTTGGAAATACAATTATTTCGTCATAATATTCGTAATTAAGAAAATTAACAATCGAGTCTCATTATTAAATGTTCAATTTATTCAATCAATATTCTCATTTATACTTAACAAATAACATTGCATAAAGTCATATAGAATTTACTCAAAATATAAAAAAAAAATATTTTTGGAGATGAGAATGATGAATTCGTTTCCTGGCTCGTAGGGTACGGATTTTTCGATTCAGCATCGATTCTTTAACGATTGATTGTTTTAGATCTGATACTGGATTAAAAAAATTCATTTTCACGGATCGATGATGAATGGATCCAGCCGATCCGAATAGCACGATCGATCATTTTTTGCTAATCGAAAAATCCTATCCCAGTGCGAATGATAAAGCTAGGGAGTAAGAAATAATTTTTTCCTACATTTCAGTGGGCATTGTTAGGCTTTCTGAAATACGCTATCAGCAAGCCATATCTGTCGAGGACACTGTAGCTGCTTGACTCACCATTATTGCTTTCAAATAGAATTTTATTTTTGGTTATCTCTTTAGTCACTTCTTCTTTGTACTCGTCTTTGAGATCATCTGGAATTCGGTTGAAGAACGGGTTCACCGCTAAAATGTGGTCTGGAAAAATTTTCATTTTGTTTGAATAATCAATGAATTAATTAGTCCATTTTTTATGTAATTTATCCAAATTTTTAATCCGCCATCGATGAAAAATGGTTTCTTAGACGAATAAATTGATGACGAGCAGCTCTTCTCAATAAATAATTAATGAATTATATTGATATATTAATTTAATGTATAATGTATTTTTATATTATGTATATATTTATCCCCTGTTGACAATCATGAAATTGACATTAAAATTCTTGACTAATTCTTGACATGACTAATTGAAAATGAATTAAAATGAAAACTGATGGTGAAAACATTGAAAATTGATTCAACGAAGGATAAAATATTCCAGGTACTTGGATATTTCCAATTAAAGAGAGTGCCGTGAATAGGAGAATTTTGCTTTGAAGTCGTAAAGTTTTGTGAGACGGTAAATGTTGGGTAAACTTTTGATGAAATGAAAATAATTTACTTTGCAGAATTTCCAAGCTCTCAAATACGAAGGTTTTCTCTCTATTACTGCAGTGTAGTACCTCGAAGCCAACCTCCTCCAGTGTTTTCTTCATAGTTGCCCTCGGATTCGGGCAGCTGTGATAGGGTGGAATATACTTTCCAACATCCTGATGAGATCAATTGAAAAATAATCCCAAAATTCACCAAGTGTCTAAATAATCAATGAGTTTACCTGCATGTAGGGCTGATAGCGGGGATTTCTCTGGAGTTTCATGTAGGCATCGAAGCCATTGTTGTAAGACAGAAACATTACAAGACCTCGACCTCCCGGTCGAAGAAGTTTATAAATATTTTCAACAGTACGTCTCATGTTTTGGCACCAATGGAGACAGTAGAATGACAATGCGTTGTCATAATATACCGTCTGTTCTTTGGAGAAGTCCTTGGATTCAATGTCCATGTGAATGAAAGACATACGCTCTTCGTTTCCGTAATTTTTCCTAGCAAAGTTGAGCATTTCTTCCGAAATATCAGCACCTAAACCAAAAATTCAATGATTCACTGTCAATTTATTCCATTATAACGGAGAAATATCGCACAACACTCATTTCCGAGTTCTTCATTGGAGTTTGCTTGTTTGGATTTTTTGGATTGTTTGAAATAATTCTTAATTAGTAATTAACCTACCGACAATGGTAGCGTTACACCCCAGTTTGGGTAAAATCAACTCTTTGGTGACATTTCCGGGACCGCATCCAATGTCGATGCATTTTCCTTGCATTTTTCCAATTTCATCGGAGAATTCTTCAATGACTTCGGATGCATCTCTCCGCTGCATGTCACTTGCCTTCGTGTACTTCTCGGTACTATTCATGATTACTGAGTAATTCAATATATTTACATACTTCAAATTCAACACAGATTCGATAAATGGATTTGTAATTTAGGAATTTATGTGGAGGCACTCGGTAATAATCAACTATTTGGGGCCCGCTCTCACAACTGAGAACATCATATTCTGGCCCGCTGTATTTATGTGGTACTAATTTCCACCTCTCACCAGCTCTTCCATTCTCAAGTTTTTTATTTATATTTTTGAACCCGGACCCCTGACATCTTACATCGGGCTTTTCACTAAATCTTTCATGGAATACGTTCAACGATAACGCGGAGAATACTGAAATAATTTTTTTTCGTCGATCCAACGCTCGGTCGCTATTCCTTCATTGCAAGTACACTGCGAAAATTGCGTGCTGCATAAGCAGTTTATGGTGACATACGATTCCCAGGTATCTCATGGAGGAAAAACAACTGTCATTAACAAAATTTTTACTGCCGTTGTGTATGACATATTGGAATGCTCATTGAAGGTGTTTGGATGAACTGATGCGATCGGTTCTGGGAAAAAATATTGTCAAATTCAAAAAATCTTCATGAGTCGACACCAATAATATAATTAATAATAAAAATAATATAATAATTATCACACTTGGTATTTTTTATCAATTCAGTTTCTCTCTGGTGTTGAGATAAGATTTTTTTATTGATGGATTTGAACAATATTTTTGACGAAGGAGATTCAATTTTTCTGTCTCTCAACTTTTTGGTTTTGAAATTCAAATAAATAAATATAATGTTTATATTTTCCTCGACGATCAATGGTGATTATGCAATTAGCGTTTAATTATTTCATTAGTAAAGATGGAAAACAAAGAAATCGTAATAATAAATATGGATTTTATTTTTTATTCTGATTATAAGTATGAAAATAAAAAATATATAAAGATACAAGTAGAATTGAGGAATTAGATTAAAAAAATTATATTATATGGATCATGATATTTTTTAAAATTAAATTCAATTCGCTCCACATGAAAAACCGAGATTAATGCTCCAACAATTACGTAAGAGTGCCTTTTAATTTCCTGTCAGGGTCTGAACCTCTGAGGCCGTCGACCCCGTTTCAAAAAAAGGGCTAGATATGATTAGATATTTATGAGTGTATCTTTCGATACCCCTCCCTCAAGATCTCACGGTATAGAAAAGAGAAGCCGCCGAATTCCAGTAGAACCTACGCGGAGCGAGAAGTTCCCTAAAAATAACCGGAAATCTTCGGTAATTCTGGTATTATTTACCGAAAAATTGTGAAACCAACTTGAATTTTTATTCTGATATCAAAGAAAGATTCAGAATTTTTTTTACTGTCGAAAAACAATTATTTCAGTGCCTGCCTAGTGAATTTAATAATTACAAAAAATTCCTTTTGTTGGATCCTAATGTTTAAATTCACCGGAAGTCATTTTACTTCTCGGTTTTGAATTTTTTCAAACTCTAAGGGTAAAGGGTATCCTCAGACATTTTCGATTTATGGGAATTATCAGGGGTCATGAGGCCCAAATTTTTATTTTTATTTTCTTTAATCGACATTTCGCGTAAGAAGAAATTTATAAAAAAATCATTTTTTCAATGAAAATTTGATTGTTCATTTAATTTTTTTTGAGTATTCCAACGTTTTGATTATTTACTCATTTTTTCATTTAGCCTACATTCCTCAAAGTTCAATTTAGGATGGCCTTTGAAAAATTGTGAAACCAGTTTAATGACCCTTTTTCGTTCCAAGAATCGTAACTGACCTATCCCAATGGCACCCTGCAGAGCCCAACAGGTTTCACAAAATCTATTCTACTATCGCCGTCAGTGTCATCTCCCAAAGATATCCATAAATTTCCGTAAACCCGTTAAAATTTCCAAGAAAAATCAGCGGCTGTGGGACCCATTCGATCACCACAAATCATGTTCCCGAAAATATTCACTTATCCCTTACGCAATTGCTTCCAGTTCTTCTAATTATCATTAGAAGATAAGCGAAGTATCACTTCACTTAACGAATTATTTAATTACCTGTTACTAATGGATTATCAGTGGAAACCTGAATTTTTGGCAAAACAATTTGGAATATCCTAGGGCATGATGAGCTAGCCAATGTCCAACGAATCTCAACGGACACACGATGGAAGTGAGACCACGATAATCTTGTTTCCTTTCCCAGTAAGTGCATTATAACTCCCGTAGCTGTTCACCCGGGTCAGAACCATATGCGACTCGTGCAATATGTTTGATTAATAATTAGAGCACTTTCCCAGGGTATCCCGCCACCTCATTCCTCCCCCGC